ATACAATGCACAGCAAAGGGTTAGCTTGACTCTTCTCGGGCTGGATTGCTGCCTTGAGAGGGTAGGTGTTTGGCTGGTAGGTTGAGCTCGGTCTGGCTCGGTTCTAGCACTCTCCAGCGCCCTGGGACGTCAAGCTCCCCACCGGGACTTTGAGCCCACGGTCTGGTCTGGTCTGGTCTGGTCTGGGCCGAGACTTCCAGCGCATTGCTGGGGCGAGTGCTGCTTCCGACGAGACATTAAACCGAGGTCCCGCCCGCCTTTTCAGTTGGACGTTAAAGATCCCAAGGGGCGTTATCGGAAAAGAGAAGGGAGTTTCTCTCCCAGTGTCCTGGCCAACAATCCACCAGGTTAAAAAAAAAATGACGTCGGGGGGGGGCTGTTTCTGACACAAAATGTTCAACAACAACAACATTACATTTCCAGAACTATGTGATAAGGTGACATTTCAAATACAAGGGATTATTTTTATCCTCCGTCCCCCACCCCCCCACCTCCCCTCCCACCCCACCCCACCCACCAGTGTGTTTTAACTGGTTGCGACTTGCTTTCTCGCTGTGATTGTAGCCGTCGCTGAGCAACCGACGGTCTCGGAGAACTGTGTGAGCAAGCTCGGAGAGCAGCTGATTCAGTCTGGGAGTGGACTGGTGGCAGAGATGACTCCCTGGGGGAGGGAGGGAGGGAGGGAGTGACGGGAGGGAGCACAGTGACCAAGTGTGACAGTCATCCTGCGTGGCAGAGAGAGAAATACATGGGTGATGTCTGCTGAGAGATTTCACCGGGTCTTTGTTTTCGTGGGAGAATAGGGGATTCGCTCACAAAATGCTCAGTCGACTCACTTTACGTTATATTCTGTGAAGTGCTTTGAGACGTCTTGAAGACGTAATAAGGCGCTATATATCAAATGCAAGGATTATTAATACTATTATTGTATTCGGTCTAGTTTCGTGCTCTCCTGAGGCCACTGAGGGGGCGATGATGACGACAACAGAATACATTTGTAAAGCGCCTTTCATGTCGGGAGGACGTCCCAAGGGGCTGGACAGTTAGGGATTTGCACCCAAGTTGGGGATGTGGCGGGGGGGGGGGAGGGCGGCGGTGGGGGTTGGATCAGAAGTGGTGGAGGGCAGTGGGAGGTGGGGGTCGGAGGAGGACCGAAGGCACAGTCGAAGAGAAGGGTCTTGAGATGCACCTTGAAGGAGCTTTGAGCGTAGACTCAGAAAGCACGGACGCCACAGATAAAACGACACTGTAGTTTTGCCACCGATGGAGCGTGCAATGATGATGCCATCCTAGGGGCCTCTGTGATTCATACCTCGTCAGAAAGATCTTACTGGGGGAGTGTCGTGGGCATATTTTTTTTCCTATTGTTCCTGAGCTATATCAAAAAATATATTTTAAAAAATGCTTTAATTAAGCCCCAAAACGGTCCGTACGATATTCTGGAACAAAGTAGCTGCAGAGGTCACACACCCTTGTAGAGGGATACATCTACACTAATAAAGACAAAATGTCGGTCTGTATATCTGTCCAAGTGATTGATGTAGAGATACCAACAGGAGTCCTCCCATTGAACCTTCCCACTGAGTCCTCCGAACAGGAGTCCTCCTAAAAGAATGTGTGTGCAAATATATGAAGGGATGCTAACGAGTTCAGTGGCACATTTTTTTAATCTTAAAGAAACAAAGATTACTAAGAAGAGAAGATTAGGCCTTTCGAGGCAAATAAGAATGCTAGACGAAAGAGAGAAGGCCGATTAAATGAAACTGGTTGCAAGCGTAGCTGCAACGGGTACAGCTAGTAACTTCATAAGTCTTGGATTTGACGCAGTGCCTCAAAGTGAAGTGAGGTGTATTTGTGGGCAAACAACAAATGTAATATCCCACAAACGGCCATGAAGTCAATAGCTGATTTATCTGGGGGATTGTCGGCCAGAACGCTCGGAGAGAGAAACTCCCTTCTCATTACGAATAGTGCCGTGGGATCTTTTAACACCCACCTGAACAGACAGATGGGACCTGGGTTTAACGTCTTATCTGAAGGACGGTGTCTCTGACAATGCGACACCCTGCGTTGGAGTGTCAGTGTGATTCCATGACCCGATGTGGGGCCTTGAGCCCACAACCTTTTGACTCAGAGGCGAGAGCGCTACCACTCTGCCAGGCTGACACGTTGCGAGACCCAGGGACACAGGCCTTAACCTGCCCTCGAGCCACCCCACTCCTTCCCACACTTCCCTCCCCCCCCCCCGCCAGCACCCCCTACCATCACTCCTACCCAGTTTACCTTTAAACATCAAACCCACAAACTTCTGACCCAGAAGCGAGAGTTCTGCCAACTGAACCAAGCCAAAAACCTGCATCACACAAGCGCTCAAAAAAAAAACACACTGTGCAAATCTTATGTGAGTGACTTGTCTTTATTCACAGATTAGGGTTAAAAACTGTTATAAAAAGTTCAACGGCTGCAAACATTCACCAATTCCGCTTCTCGTAAATGTTCGAAAAGGAACGCCGATTGAAAGAGGCTGAACTGAACTCAGCATTTGAAAGGTTAACAGCAGATGTAGACTCGGTGGGGCCCATGTACACAAGGTCTCACACATACACCTTAACGTTAGGTAAGTACTACCTACTCACTTTGTAATCCCGAAATTGCGTGGGTTACAAACTGTAGTTACTAAGTGGGCTGACTGCCCAGGTAGAGAGCCCAAAAGGGTCACCACACATTGAAATTATAAAATTAATTGGGCGGGGTGGGGGTGGGGGCGGGGGGGGGGTGGTTCTATGTTCGTTCCAAGGTATTAAGACACCCTCAATCTGAGGGGGAAATGATTCTCTTCATCGGGAGTGTCCCTCTCACCACCCCACCCCCCCCCCCCTCAACCTTGACAGAAGCAAACACGTTCCTGAGCACTTGCAGCAACATCATCATCCCCTCCACAAGGTGCAGATTATCCCAAACAACGCAGCCTGTATCCTTCTCTGTACCATCACCCCCATCCTCACTCGGCTCTGCCACCATCGATATTTGGAGATAATAATAATCACGTCATTGAGGCGTCTCAAAGCTCTTCGCAGAATATACCGTACAGTGGATTGACTGTAATATCTTGTGGGTGAAAGACGGCAGCCAATTGCGCACAGCGGTGTCCCACAAACAGTCGTGGATAGAGTTGACCAAATAATTTTTTTTTTAAAAAAAGGATTACTAACAGTGTTCTAACTATGCTACAGGATTCCTGTAGAGCAACGAGGGGCTTGGAACATTGGAAGGGAGTTTCTGACGTGAAATGTGTGAAGGGCGCATAAAATCAATATTGAATCTGCATTCCTTGTAACTACTCTATGAGCTGTGAACCTCACATTTTAGTAATTTAGTTTTATTAAAATAGCTGCAGTGTCAGAGTGTGCGGTCAGTAATACCGCTCACTCTTTCGCTATCGTACATATGCTTGTTCTGACTGGTTACATTCCTGGAAGCCAGATGCCTAATCACCAGAAGTGGTGATGACTGGGTGGAACTCACAGAGATGACCAAATCCACTGCAGCACTTTCAGAGACAAACAGAGTAAATAAAAGGACAATTCTTAAACTCGGACCTAGTTCGGAGGTCGTGTTTTGTTTGCTGCACGGACGCCAGCTTCTGAATTTAGGCAGGATTTGAGGAACTTACAAAATTCGGCGCAGTTTTAAATGCCACGATGCGATATTTCGTAACCTTAAATTCCGTGATCCTAAATTCGGCATTGCCTTAGATTTCATGATTCCGGATTTTGCGACCATCTTAAATCTCGTGATTTGTAAACTCCGTGACCCTGAAGCGCGATGCCTTATCAACAGCAGGAAGGTATGACGCACGGACCTAACAAACCGAGTCGAGTCAGTCTGAGTTTGAAGGCTGATCTATGGAGAATGGGCTTCTGAATTAAGAAATTTCCAAAATTCAGCAGCATGTTACGGTTTAAGACGACAAGAATGTTTAAGGCCTTTTTGACACTGAATCCCAACATCGCAGGTCAGTAATTAATGGATGCTCTTACTGGGAGTATTGAGGCTTGGGCTAGGAATCCCGGTCTGCGCAGAGCTTTTCATTCTCCCTTTTCTTCCAAGCAATGACCAGATTGAGGCAGGAAATTAGTCTGTAAACCCATTGTTGCCCTATGATTGTCTTCAGTTTGGTCTCAACCCGGACCCTCAATTTTTTTCCCCCAAAAGGAATTTAGCTGCATATCAACAGTGACCAAATGGAATGATTTTGCAGACTCCTTCAGTTTTAAGATGAGACGTTCTTTGTAGGCTAAGACTAGGTGCAATTTTTTTGAGGGGCGAGGAGAGGAGCGGGGAGAGTGGGGGACTGGTGCCTCTGAAATGGACAAGGAATCTCGCCAGCAAAATACAAGCGCAATAAAATATGCATCACATCTTCATCTTCCCTTGGACACACACACACACACGTAAACACGCTACAGACACCGAAAAATTCTACTCCTAGATGGTTTTGAGTGAACGGATCCGGTTTAAGGCGGCGTCCCTTCGAACAGGTCTGGTTAAACCAACTCCTTGGGATGGTGCACTTCTGCGATCTTTCAAAAAAAACACTTGTCCGAAAAGTCTCTTCAACGCCAAGACAGCTCATCCAAACAAGAAGGTCTGACTGGGCCGGGTGACCCCTGCCTCAAATGACCTGCCTGGATCCTGGAGCCTGAAGTGTTGGGTTAGCGAGTTACATTAATAGGTAGGCACTGCTGGTGACCCAACCCCAACCCCAATCCAGCCTCCGCGTCATCTTGTTGACTCCAGGAAATCGTCCACAAGAGCCATCAGTGCAACAGGTTGACCATAGAAACCACCTGCTTGCAGCCGTGCACAGAGTACTGCCTGCCCGCCACAGAGTAATAGTTCAGCTCCCTGGCCAACTCCTCCAGGTATCCAGTGTCGGGGTAGAAGCCCTCTCTCATCATCTCCTCCAAGAAGCAGTTGACGATGTGGCTCTTCTCGAGCAGGGTGAAGGGCACGATGTCTGCATGCTTCCAGAGAGGGTGGTGTTCGGTCAGCGCCCACCTCATGAGGAGCAGCAGCTCCTGGGCTGTGTTGGCGTGATACAGCGCGTCGCTGGAGGCGTTCTGCAGCACGAACTTGGTGACCTCCGCCTGGCCCACACTGCTGATCAACACATAGACGGCGTTGAGGAACTCGTTGGTTTGGTTGGTCCGGAAATAGGTCCCCAGGAAGTCCAGCAGGGCTGGCCGCATGTGCTCCATCTCGTCGAAGATGAACACCGGATCTTCTCCTCCTCCTCCGCCCTGTTGACCAAGTTGGACACACTCTTGGCTAGTTCCTGCTCGCAGCTCCTGGTCTCCACCTCTTCCGGGCACTGGTGCAGCACGAAATACTGGAGCACGTGTTTCTCATTCATGACCGAGCGGAAGTGTTTGGCCAGCAAGCGCCCAACGTGGCTCTTCCCAACACCACTCGGGCCGTTGAGGGACAGGACTAGGGGCTTGTTGTGGTTGTGAGTGGCCAGATAGTCCTCCAGCAAGTCCATGAGATGTTCGATGGCTGCAGTCTGTCCAAAGACCTCCCTCCTGAGTGTCTTCTCCAGTCCCTCGAGGTCGTACTTCAGCACATTGTCATCCAGGTTCTCAATGGCGTTGTAGATCTGGAAGCACACAATGATACTCAGCAGGAAGAGGCAGTTCTTGGCTTTGCTCTGCTTCTCCTCGGGCAGGTACCTCTTCGATCCGTTGGGATACAGCACTTTACATTTCCCCCTCTTCAGCCTGCGCTTCCTGAGCGTTCCCTTGGGCGCCCCGTCAAAGGTGAAGACGTCCAAGGGCTCTCTGGAGTGGAACCGGGAGAGACCCAGAGACTGAGGAGCCGTGTGCTCGCTCTTCTCCAGCAAGAGCCGCTTCTGTTTCAGGACGTTGTATTTGCGACGGATGCGGAACGCTGCTCTGAGCGGCGAGGTCACCAGTGAAATCCTCTGCCTGACATTGGCAGGGTCTGGGCACGAGACAGCACGTTCCATTGGTTGCTTGGCTAGTTCCAGGTCTGGCGACAGCATCCGACCCTCAGGACTGAATGGCCGCTGTCCCTATTAAAAGAAAGAAAGCAGACGTTCATCAAGAGATCACTGATCAGCTCCCTCTGCGAGCTCAGGCCTGTTCACGTCTCTCTCCTCTCTGCCCCACCACCCTCGCTGGTCGGTGAACTTCCCTCCCTCCTTCCCTCCCCCTCTGCTGCGCATTAATCCTTCTCTGGTTTAAGTGCCATCGTGGCTCACTTACATCTCTGAGTTAGAAGGTTGTGAGTTCAAATCTCACCACCTCAGGACTTTGAACTCACAGAGTCAAAGCTGACACCCCAGTGCAGTGCTGAGCGGAGAGTTGCATTGAAGGAGGTGCCGTCCTTCAGATGAGACGTTAAACCGAGGTCCCGTCTGCCTGTTCAGGTGCACGTTAAAGATCCCACGGCACTATTCGAAAAGAGATAGGAGTTTCTCTTTCCCGGTGTCCTGGCTAACAAATCCCCCAAATAAAAATGCTCATTCATTCCATGGCTGTTTGTAGGACATTGCTGTGCATAAATGGGCGACAACATTCACAAACAAATACACAGTCACCGCATTTTGCAGTCAAACCCTGTGATGCGCTTTGAGACGTCCTCCTGATGTGAAAGGCACAATGCCAAATGCATGGATTATTAATAATAATAATCTTTGCATTTGATATAGCGCCTTTGTCTTCGAAACGTCTCAAAGCACTTCACAGAATATACTGTAAAGTGAATTGACTGTATATTTTTGTGTGCGAAACGTGGCAGCCAACTGCGCACAGCAGCGTCCCGCAAACCTTCGTAGATTCAGTGACCAAATCATTATTTTTTTTGAAGGGATTATCACTCCCGGAAAAGCGATCCGCCAATCGACTAACGACCGGGTTCCTTCTTACTGCCTCGTAAACAGAGGCGTGTGCGTGGAGTAAGGAAACTTGCTCAACATTTCGCCCCATCTGGGAATCGAACCCGGGTCCTCTCGCTTAACGGGGTGAGCGTTCTAAGCATTAAGCTCCACAGGACTCCACTTCCGCACTTGTGCAACAGTAATTATATTATTATTATAATTAAGATTACAAAACCCCCATTTTAAGAAGCTACCTCTGAATCTAAGACCTCCCCACCTTTTGGCACGATCTTAAATTTTAAGAGAGTCCCGAGTCGCAATCTTATATTTGCGTGCCCTGCTTACAAAACCCTGAATCATGGTATTAAACACTTAGATGCAGTTATGGCGCATCTAAAAACAAAATCAGATTGAAGTTGTTCCTACACAGATACCTCACAAGATTATAATTTTAAAATGGACACAGAACTGTCGATTCTGAGTTTATTCGTCTGAAAAGAGAAACGGCAGCAAGCTTCTTCAGGCAAAAGAGGAGAGTGTGACTCTGGCCTTTGAGGAGCTTATGTTACTGAGATAACTGAGGCCCCTCGATCAAAATTAGGAACTTTAGTCTCATAGTTTCAATCCGTCCAAGGCCTGAAATTGCACCCAGTTCAGGCTTACCGTCCATTGCATGGGTGTTTGTGGGTGTTTCCAGTGCATTGTTCTGTGCAAATTGGCTGCCCCGTTTGCCTACAAAATACACAGTCACTGCACGTTACAGTCAATCCTGGGAAGCATCTGGAGACGTCTTCCTACAGTAAAGGCAACTGGCATCCCTCTCCCCCCCAAACGCCCCAGTCGCGCCCCTTCCCCCCGCGCCCCCCGTCGCTCTCCAATTTCCAGAAGAAGATTTGCAATTTCCTTCCTGTTCCAAAAACAGGAAAAGCTCCCAGGACAGATGCCAGGTCACACTGGTCAGGTGGAAGGATTGTTAGACAGGGTCTGTGAAGGAGAGGTGAGAAGCTACCTCCCTCTGTTGGAGAATAACAACAACAACTTGTATTTATACAGCGCCCTTCACGTGGAGCAGCATCTCGGAGCGCTTAATAGTGCTGGAGCCTGATGCCAAGCCGGGGCACAGTCGAAGAGGAAGGTCTTCAGTCGTGATCTAAACGAGGGGAAGCAGGGGGAAAGCCAGAGGGATTGGGGAAGAGAGTTCCAAAGCTTCTGGGCTGTAGTGGCTTAAAGTGCGGCCGCCCTTGGTGGAGCGGAGGGGACGAGGAACAAGCAAGAGGCCAGAGACGGCCAAGAGTAGGCAGCGAGCGGGTAACTGAAGCGGGGAGAAAGCAATACTTTTGTGCTTTTCTCTCCCTCCACCTCCTGAGTTGGGGGCCAGACGGCGTAGAATTGAGGAAAACTGTAGGAAGTTCAGTCTACCTGCGGGAAAGTTATTTTCAAGGACTGCGGAAAACCGGCTTCGGGATTAAGACTTAATTAAGATGATTTCCCCAGATAAAATCCATCATTCACTTCATTTCCTGCTGCAAATTGGCTTCTCACTTCTCTTCTCTACAACAACAACAGCAAAATTACATTTATAAAGCGCCTTTCACGTTGGGAGGACGTCCCAAAGCACTCTACATAAAAACACTAAGCATCTTATAGTTGATGGAGGTGCACATATGCACCGGCAACTCACACACACTTGTGGTCACACACTCGCACACGCACTTGCTTAGTCACACACTCACATCGACAAAAACCCACACAAGCAAACTCACAGCTTCATACACACTTGCACACACGCTCACGTATCCACACTCACACACATTCGGCCACCACAAGATCTCAAGCGAGTCCTGGATGAAGAAGGCTCTTCAGACATTTAATCTCTTGCTTCCAGAATGTTTCTCGCATCTCAGCATGTCCTGGCCTCAACCAGGAAATCGATTGCAGTCGTGAATCACTCTTTAGGTTACAAAATACTTTGATGCGTAACGAGATTTGCAACTTCGTGCCAAACCACCGTACCTAAACGTTGCCCTGGGTTAATGTTTCTTTAACTAAACTAGAAATGTGTTAATGTTCTATAACCTACTTAGAATTGTATACACCTTGCGCTTGAATGCTGTGAATCAGCCCCCTTGTTCTCTGCGAGGAGCTTGGCTTTAAAAAATTGAACTCGCCACAATTCCTGATGCTGGCAGGTACTGGAGAAGTTGTAGCGTATTGGTTAGAGCATTTGTCTCGCGAGCGTGAGGACCCGGGTTCGATTCCCCGACAGGGCGAAACCTTAGACAAGTTTCACTGCTCCTCTGCTTTATTTAGCACAAGTAGGAACCCGGTTGTTAGTCGAGTGGCGGATCGCTTTCTGCGGTAATAAACCCTTAAAAAAGTGTTTGTGGGACACTGCTGTGCATGATTGGCTGCTGCGTTTTGCCCATAAAATATACAATCAATTCGCTTGACCCTATATTCTGTGAAGCGCTTTGAACCGTCTCAACGACGTGATAAGGCGCTATATCAAATGCAAGGATTATCATCATTATTATTAAGCTTGTTAGATTACTAGATCAAGACAGGGCAAATTTGGCCCCAGGGACACGATACCTCGCTTCTCCAGAAATCGGGAACCTTTGGTCACGATGCCCTGTTGGACTGTGCAGGAAGGAACTTGGGACAGGATGGCTTAGAGATTCATCAGCCTCCATCTGTCAGCAACAGCTGCACTGGGAACAGAGAGAGTTTACTGATAACTTTCAGCAACTAAACTTTGCCAGAAAAGCCCAGCTCGAGGAACGGCTCCAGCGAAGGCTGACACCAGAGGAAGCTGGAACCTCCATCTATGTTGCCTGGATGCATCTAAAAAGACCCTCCAGCTTTAGTCCCTTCGTCCTCCAACCACAGCCAGTGAGGCTACGATTCCCCCCTCGCACCACAGTACACGCAGCATTGAAATCAAACAGGAATTAGCGCAGGGTTTTACTGAGAGCGCAGAGGAACCGCCACTCGCTGGGGGAGCAATTCACAAACAGTTATCTTTGCTCCGCATTCTTTTTTTTCCCCCCCCTCCTGACCTTTTCGTTGGGACTTGCATCCGGCTGAAAGCAAGAAGAAAAAGAGGAAGGGAGAGAGAAAGCGAGTGAAAGAAAGAGAGCGAGAGAGAGAGAAAGAGAAAGAAATGGAACTTGCTGGCTCCGAGCGCTCGCTGCGGACGGGACCACCTGCTGCTCCCCACAACCCGTGCCCCCCCCCCCGGCGCACTGCCCACCCCCCCCACCCCCCACCCCCTCGGCGGACTGCCCCCATCACCTGCAAAATGCACACTTCTCCAGTAGCCGTGAAAGCTTCATCTGACAGTCTGAAAGGAAAGTTGCAGAAGAGCTGCTCCGTGGAGGACAGAAAGCAGACTCCAAGCAATCGCGAAAGTGCAGCGTCACAGACTGTGAACGCATGTTAAGCAAGCAAGCCACTTCCTCTCTCTCTCTCTCTCTCTCTCGCTCTCTCTCTCACTCAGGACTGGAGTCCTGTAGCTCAGTGGTTAGAGCACTCGCTTTGCAAGTGAGAGACCTGAGTTCAATTCCAGGCAGAGGGCGAAACCTTGGGCAAGTTTCCTTACTCCACACAGAGCCTAATAATAATCCCTCCAAAACCAAAAACAATAATAAATTGGTCATTTTCAATCCACGACTGTTTGTGGGACATTGCTGTGCGCAATTGGCTGCCGCGTTCGCCCACAAATATACAGTCGATTCACTTTACAGTGTGTTCTGTGAAGCGCTTTGGGACGTCCTCCCGACGTGAAAAGCGCTATATCAAATGCAAGGATTATTATTATTATTATTAAACACTGCACACACACACACACAGAAGAGAGAGAGAGAGAACGAGAGGCAGACATATTCACTGGCTGTCGCTATCGTAACTCTAAACCCCACCTCCTGCCACCCGATTCATCCCAAAGCTCTCAATACTCTAACCAAATTCGCACACGAGCCGCAAGCAAATGAGCCCTGAAGTAAAAGTGAGCCGTGTGATAGCGAAGCTCGTTCTGACCTTCGGGAGTTCAGACCAAGTGAATAGGGGAAGGAAGTCGGGTGGAGTTACGCAGAACTATCAAGGTTGCAAAAGGGTCTTTCTGGGCAAAACAGGGAAAGGAAGTCTTGGATGTCAGTCAAAGCGCACAGAGGATCACTCACTCGCCCAACGCC